CTAAAATGCCTACGTACTGTAGTTTGTCACAAGTGAATAACAGATGACAGAAGGGTCAAAAAATAGGTTATCAAATAACCCTGGTTTAATGTTCAAAAAAATATTTATAAATAATAGATATTTCTAGGAGGTTTGTTAGATGGAGTAGAAATGCAGAGCCACTAATAGATGCAGGCTCAGGTACACTATTGCAACACTACTATACAATAGTTATCAATCGTACTATAGTAACCCATCAGTGCAGATACAAGTTTGTTTTTCTAGGTAAACTACAGAAAAAGAATACTCCAAACAAAAATAGCCAAGTGGTATGGTCGTTAAATAGCCAAATACAGGAAGGGAATATTTATGAATTTGAATGAATACATGTGGGCTACCACAACATGGTACGTGTAATTGAACTATTTGCTTCTCTGCTGTGCCAGATCATAATTGTGTCGTTCTGTTTGACCTTCAAATTAGAGTTATTGATGTATGTATGTGCCACTAAGGTTTCTGCTTCACTGACACACTTAACATCCTTACTACTGCAGAATCTGAGTTCGAGGTCAAACATGCAAACTGCAGCATGTTAAATAATCAACATTATGAGTAAACCCCCAAATTTATGGTACAAGAGATAGATGAAGTTGAAATAACAGTTTTCTAGAGTGAACTTGAAAAAGAGAAAGGAAGAGGGAAGGAAAGAAACCAACAAACATTTGAAAGAGCAGCAGAGGGTTTTACATAGTGAAAGGTTTAGGGTGTAACCTAAACTGGTGGAGGGATCAGCATTACCTCACCGCATTTTCCTCCCAAATATGATCACAGACTTCAGACTTGTTTTAGGTAACAGAAGTCCAGTAGTATCACCACAGAATCCCAGGAATAATGGTGAGTGTAGTCGTCATGATATAAAACCTTCTTCCAATCCATGTGAACCCACCAAACTGTAAAGAAGGGAGAAGTTATGCCATCAGCACTAGCCAACCAAAACACATTTATGTGATTTGGAAGATAAATATTTTCTCCTACTTCTACAATCTTCTGGCATGTATATTTATAGACATCTTAGCAGCAACTCAAAAAACGCACTCATAGTTCTTTAAATTTAAACAATGACGCCTGTCCGTCTGTTGAGTTTGAAAAACTGTTTTACGTAACTAGTCAGTTTGGACTTTTGTTATTTCAAACAAGTTAGAGCACATGCCTCTTCACAGTAGAAGTGCTTCAGTTTTAGTTAACTTTTGGTATGCAATGGAATCACAGTATAAGCTAAACTTGACTATTGATAGTTTAGATTATGTATTATTTTTGGATGATAATTTGTCTCTAAATCCACAGTCACACTGTTGTCTCAGTCTAGACCCCCTAGTGGGGTCATATTAACTGTACTTTGATACCTTCACTTAGTTATTTCTAAATCCAATTTAAACTTGCCCTCCTCTTTGCATGAACTCCGACAAAGTTCAGTTGAAGCTTTCTTTGTGTCCTAGTACATCAGTATTCAGAGTCAATGGCTACATTATCATCTTACCAGGAATTCCGTATTCTTAGAATTATTCTCTCTTTTTAGCAGCCTCAGGTATAGCTGGCTTGTAATTATTTGAACATTATTTTATGACATACAGTATAATAGATATTGTACTGTATGTTTTACATAACTGTTTAAAGAGCTAATGCAGCTACAAGTGTAATTTATGGAAGTAAAAGAGATTGATCAGAGGCATTTAACTTTGCTTAAGTAACACCTTCAGCTAAGGCTGTACAGACAGGCTCTTCAGAACATTTGCAAGGAAGAAAAGCTGAAAAACAGTGCTGAAATACCAGAAAGGTAAGCAAACATTTTCAGTGTAGTTTGAAACATCTCTTCACTGAAAAAAGCCATAGTTAGTCATGGTTTTTGCCTTTTCTGACTGTCCTCAAACCCATCTTCTGAAAGATCTTTTCAAGTTGTGAAGTTACTTCTTTGGAATTTTAAATGCTTTCTAAATTCCTAAGTTTTTTTCCTGAAAAGGGGACAAATTTGAACTTAACAGGCAATGAGGTGAGAACAGAGCTTATAGGTAATTTACTACTGAAGCAGCTTTAGTTTAAAAGAAAAATGCAAGAGGCTTCTCTCAGTCTTTGGTTTCATTTACCATATGACAACAATTAAAATCTTAATCAAATATTGTACAAAAAGAAGATATTTAAATCAGAGCAAGCTAGCCAATCCCAGGTGTTGATAGCACTCTGCATGATTTACTGTTTAGTGCTTAACAAAAACCCCATGAATCAACTGCAACAAATAAAGAATTCAGCTCTACTTGTAGACTTTTTGTAGTAGGTTTAGATCCTTATCCTATGCTTCTTATTGTGTACCACATTAAATTATCCTGAGACGACTTGCCTTGAAGTCCCAAGTTGTTAAACACACTAGAAAAAAGTAAGGCACTACTAATAATGACCATTGGGAGGGCATAAGGAACCAGAGAAACAGAAACTGGGTGTAGTTTAGTGCTTTGCTGAGCTGTGATGCTGCTGAAATTGCCACCTCAATGTCACTGTGCTCTTTTAGTCTAGGTCATCTTAATGAATAACAACAAATCCTTCAAGCACTAATCCCTTCACAGACACCTGCTGGTTTGCCACAAGGATGAAGAGCACATAAACACAAGTTTCAGTGTTGCAGCCTATCAGAAACACAAATAAAAGAACTATTAAAAATGACAATTCCTCAAGATTAAGTTTCCTCAGAATGGAATTCAGCCTAAGGAGGTGGCTATGAGCTGAGTAAAAGCTTTTATTTCAGCAAGGAAACCTGAATTACATCCAAGAAAATCGCACCTCCTCTGTCCACAGACTTCCAAGAAATAACGTACTTACCCCAAAGTTCACCTGCCTCTGCCATCCCTCATGGTCTGAAACAGTTTTGCCACACCAATCCATGTTATCTTGCCCCCAGTTTAGTGAGAGTCCTACAGCAAACAAATCTTTTCTGGGTAATCATTTAGCTATCACTGTTCATTTGCAAGTCATCCAGATCCATAAACTGTATTGCACCTTGCTGCTGCTTGGAAACACGTGGTGTTGTGCAAGCATACGCCTGTAGGGATATGGCAGCATCTCGGAAGGGTACGTATAGAGCAGCGCAATGGCAGAAAGCAAGATTTTCTTCATGTGCACCATTTTCAAGGCAAACATGGAGCTCTCAGCCATGTTGTTTCCACAGCCTACTTAAGCAAGGGATCTCGCTATCCATTTGTGTAAGAGAAGCACTGGCCAACAAGAGCGTCTGATAAAGCATGTGAGGACCTGACCACTCCAAGAGAGCTGGGGCCCAGACTCTTTGGATTCAGGCTACAGGGCAGCAAGAGCCCACCATGCACTGTCTGGTCATGCCGAAGCGTTACAATTGAGGTCTACAGTACTGCTTCAAATAAAGACACTCGCCTGACAAAATACAGCGCTGACTTTTGTGGCTGAGTAAGACAATTTAGCTTCCTAGAGGGCTGCAATTGCAGACTAATTCTGGAGCAGTCTGCTGCGACCGCCCGTCGGGTGAGGAGTCGTTATCTGAGAACTGCCAGTCTGTGGGTTAGTGAGGGGCCAATACAAAAGTGCCAGGAACCAGCAGTGTTTCTCAGCAACTGACCCCTGCCTGGAAAGCAGAATTGACTGACGATATTCCCGTACAGATGCTACCATGCGCAGCAGCAACTGTTTTGTAGTGAGTAAATGCATACCAGTCTGCCACTCGCAGCTACAGTCTGGAGTAATAGCAGGCAGTAATGACTGCAGTAATCATATCAAAGTAATTAAATGTAAAGTTTGAATACCAACACAGTATTACTGAAGCACGGAGTCATTCTTACCTCATAAAATTATTATGCTGTACTTGATGCCCAAAGTACTGCATCCCACACAGATCCATTACTTAGAAGAGTAAGATCATTAATCATCATAGACAAGATTTAATGCATAAGAACTAGAGTGCTGTCCTAAGTCCAGCTACTACTAGTGCCACAATTGCAAAAATTAGTATTACTATAAAGCCATTTCCACATTTAGTAGGTTTTTTTTTCCCAAGTTTATGAAGAGTTGACAATAGTTCCAAAGCAATTCATAAAGTGTGTTAGAAGTATGCACAGGGATGCTGGCTGCCTTGCTCAGCTATCCCATTGTCACAGACTGCTCCCATTATACTAAATTATCATTTTTCTACCAACTGTTGCCACAAGAGCTGGTCCAAACTACTATTGTAAGTAAATAATGCTTTGAAACTGGGGAGATGAAATCAGCACCAGAATACTGCACATTAATCTCTTCCACATAAGCCACTCAAGCAGTCCCATGGCTGATCCCAGTCCGTGAGGCAGAAGACTCAGAACAACAGAAAGAACCATGCATTATGGGGTAGGGCTTGGAGACTAAACAAAGCTTAAACTGAACCAGATCAGTTCCATTTTCAAAATTACCTGACTCCAGTACAGAGACTGAAAACAAGCACCATGTGTTCTGAATTATGCTTCTAATATTTCTATATTCTCAATTTGCAAATTTATGCTAATAAGAAACAGAATAAATATTTTTCTGAACATGTCTGTCATATAACCAAGACATACATACTTCTTCCAGTGTGGTAAAGATTTATACTAACCTATTGTGAACCAACAGATCAAGACTGATGTTATTTCATCGGTTGTTCCTAAAGCTCTACAAACTCTCAGCAAAAAAACCCACCTCATAATACAATACCAAGTAGCATAACTGTTACAATATTAAGCAGATGTTATTTAAAAAGCATTCTTCTGCCACAAACCACCACCATCTCTCCTCAAATTTTCTAGAAATATACTGCAGTCTTCATTAACAAAAAACCCTCCAAACTCAGGAATCTTTCCTTCAAACCTCTGCTTCCAACTCACCTTATGACAAGTCAAAAGACTTTCTGACTCAATAATAACTTCTGTAGTGACATTGCACTGTTTAGCAGTTATGATGGATTTATTGCATGGTTAATAAATAGAATATAAATGACAAGGGTAACGGCTTTTATTTCAGCAACTTCTCAACAGTGGCAACAAAAATGAGGAAAACGGAGCACAAAATTAATTTGTATTTACTAATGCTTTCCTTGAGTTTACTTCAGAGACGGAGTCCCTCTTTCTCCTTGTCTTTGAACTTCAAAATACTTCCAAACAATTTGTTAGAATTTTAAGACAGGCTAAGTCATAAGTATAAATTAGCTCCCAGTTTAAAAATATTATGTAAAGTGCTCCTATCAGGATTTGTTCAGCTCAATGAATGACTTTTATTTAAGCATTTTAAAAAACAATATTTTGTTGCACAGACACAATAATCAGATAAATAATATTTCAAACATCAGTACAAACTTCATTTACAAAACCTTTCCAGAATTCCTCTGAAAAAGGGTCTTCAGCTGATAAAAATAAATTCTATTAATTACCCTGAAAACCAGACAGGTATAACCAGGATCCAGTCACTGGATAGTATCTTTCCTGTGGTACGATTTAGTTCGTTCTTTCCTTTCACATTCACCCACGAGAGCACATATATTGCTAAGTAAATATGTGGCTATATAGATGCATATAAAAAAAGTCTTTTAAAGGACCTGTCAGAAATTTCAACTCCATATTTTTAGTTATGGAAACAGGTACATGGATCCACAGTTTTAACAAAATGCACACGTGAAGGACATCATTTCCGGAAGCGTTTAAATAGTGGATGGATGTGTTTATTTGAAGATGCCTTACTCCGTGAAGAGTGGTATTCCATGTAAACTGTATCATCTGCTCCTGACATAGAGCTCATTGTGCCCGTACGACGTGACACCTGCAAGTAAGGGGAGGAAAAAAACACGTGCTTAGTGTGTGATGAGACAGACCAACTCTAACCAACTGATGCCCACTGGCTACTGGGCAGCACTGTTCATTTAGTGACCTTAATGCCAAAAAGCCTTCGAAGTTTTTCTTCTTAAGAAAAATTTCTACAAAGAAAGTCACTGCCTGCCACTCACCATAAGTATACAAACATATCTAAGTTTTAATATGGAAAGATACCTTAGAGTGGGAATTCCTAATGCATTTCAGCACAATACGATTTAGCTAAAAATTAACTCTAAAAAATTAATTATCACATTGAGCTTGATTTTAACTTATGTATCAATAAATGGTTCAGGCTATTTATTTTTCTTGTATCTGTTTCGGAAACTGTCAAACTACTGTCTACAACAGTACTTCTCTTGAAAATGAACAAAAGTGGCCCTTATGTTTCTGCCCTCTGGGTATGAGGGAATCAGGGCATGATTCAAGGAGCACTGTACCACCACAAGAGTATGTGCTCTGACATATGTGCATCTTAAAAATGTTTTAAAATATTTTCATTGCTTGTGACTTAGAAGATTTACTGCAAAATCTGTAACAACAGATCTGTCATCTTCTCCCTCAAATGTAATGGAGAAGGACATGAATTCCACATCTAACTTCTTTCCAGTTCCCAACAAGTGAATTACTCAAATAGCTAAATGCTAATGCAGCTTAAAAAACATAAATCTGTTCTCCAGTGTTTCACAAAGATAATAGGGCATCAATGATGGCATCACATTTAGAATTAAAATGGAATGGTCCAGTTCTGTCACATTTGTGGGTCATCCTTTTCAAAGCATTCTTCATTACCTGAGCTGACTTTGAACCATATTCTCCAGCAACTACTTCCTCCTCAGCATCCAGGTCAGATGCTTGCAGGACTTTCTGGAGAAGCTGCTGCTGCTCTTCTTTGGATGAAAATGAAAGTTCTTCTTCTTCCATGCCTGCAAGCTTTGTTATTACCTAAGAAACAGAGCACAATACAAGGTGAGGGCTCTTCCTCCTCAGTGTTAGCTATTCAAAATCAAGACAAGGATTTCTGATCCCGTATCCTCTTGGAACTGCCTTCAACTTTTATTAATGGTCTGAACAGCTTAACACTACGGGTAGCACCACAGATACATATAAAATCTTGCTAAGTGGCATACATCTATATGCACACGCATATCCCTTGTTATATTCTAGCTGGAAACACAAAATACAAACCTTTGGAGAAAAAAAGAAGAAGGAAAAAGAAAAGCTCTGGACAGAGGATGTCAGCCAAACGCTGTCCATACCAGCTTGACCAAGAACCTGACCAAAGCACATACAGCTTAGATGCATACTCAACTTACTGCAAGGTTAGCTTCATGCTGTGGACTCTAGATTTGTCTAGTTTACGAATTGGTACTTTACATTTAACAGAAATAATCCACTAGCTTTTCAGACGCTGAGAATTTTAGCAATAAACATTGAGGAATATGGGAAAAAAAAACCCTAACTAATCAAGATGTATGATCAGTTGTTGAGAGACAGTGCAGCATCCTGCAACAAAGCATCAGCAGCAGAGCAAAACGACTCTTTCAAGGTCTGTGTACTTAGATAAAAGGTAACTTCACTGTTATGCTTGTTCTCTTTGCAATTCCTAGCAACTCATTTGATAACCGTGGATGCAGGGCACATGCCATCTACTGGCAATGTAGTGCCATATACTCCCTGAAAAAACTCTTCTAAGGAACTGAAAAGCTCTCAAGTTTCTGTTGTAAAGCTTTACAATAGGCAGCTTGCTTTCTTAATTAGAGGTATTTTGAAAATTTCACAAGAAATTTTCCTGCAGTTAAATGCATTCTGGTAAACATATGTTTCTACATGAGAATCTTAGTTTTCCCCACTGTGTTTCCAACTTGAAGAAGTCTTGAGAAAGACATTCTAATTCAGCCATTTCCCTTGATTATGTAGTCTTCCTTCCTCAGCTTATCTCTTGAGTCAATACAATTAAAAACTAATTACCTCAGTAATCTGGGCTAGATCTGATCACAAAGACTGATAAAACAATATAAATACAGCTTAAGGCAAAACAAATCCACATTAGATGCAAGGTACTGCTATTGAAAAACAGGGTATTGAAAGACTAGAACGAATAATCAGTGTTGTGGGCTGTTGTCAATGGCAATTTCTAATTTGAAAACGTCTTTCTGAGAAATGGCCTAGCTTTAAGAGTCCATTCAGGGAAGCAACCTGTCCTACTGTATGGCTAAAGGAACACGATCATCCCCCTTCTTGTTTATTTAGAAGCACACATGCTACAACCATTTCAATAAAGAAAAAGGAGTCACAAAACGCAATTTTAAATTGCATTAGCCTGTTTCCAGTTGTGGCTGCAAAACAGTGCTAACATGATTCATAGAATGGAAAGAATTCCCACTGCATCATAATTTTTTAAGCTGTTCAACAGATGCCAAGTTTAAAGGTATCCCCAATTCTTTGATGTAGTGAGGAGTTCTGCTATTGGTTTTAAAATTTAATATATCCTACATTCAGCCTCTAAATAAAAACACAATACAGTAAATAACTAAACTATTGTTAGCTAACAAAAAACCCCACTAGATAATTAGCCTCCAAGGAGTAAATTGTGATGACAAGGCTCCTATTTAGGAAGCAAAGACAAAATAAGTGATTTAGCAAAAAAATATTATTCCAGTCCTCTTTTTGATGAAAGGCAGAGAATGGAGCTATTGAGAGACAGTGAGAAGAAAGTAAGTCTTGGGAAAAAAGTGAAAACTGTTACCCTTTTAAAGGAGCAAGGGATTTTTAGTAATTTAGGCATTAGGAACAAAAATTCTGAAGGAGAGGACATCAGCACTGAAATCATTACCTAAAGATGAGGTAGAGTCTCCATATTTGGCAGAATAAGAAGGCAAACATCTGATGGGAATGACATACACATAGTTGATCCTGGCTTGGAATGAAGAAACACAATAGATGGTTTCTTGGAAGTTTCTTCCAACCCTATTATTCTTTGATGCCAGCTATGACTAAGGCTTAAAGTTTGGCAAACAGAAGAAAATAGATATTCTAACATTTTGTTCCTAAACTGCAAATAAAGAATGTTCCAGTACTGGTCAGATAAAATGTTGCTCCAGATACTCAGCTGCCACTTGCACTGCTTTTTTTTCCCATATTACACCAAAGCTCCTAGGACTAGGTCTTCCTTGCAAAATGAAATCCCTCTATTTTAATCTCTTCCTTAGTTCTAAAATCAAAGGCATTCAAATATAAGTAAAGGGATTTCTGTAATCTTCTTGGCTATAGCCACATACATGCATTTGCTGTAATTAGTTGCAGCTTAGTACTGATCTACAGTTTTGTCAAAATACATTCACTACAAAGCGAAACAAGGTTTTTACCTATAAAGACTGTGACATGTCTGTTACGGTGTAAGGACCCCCTTAACGGTCTCTTTAACAGGCCAGTGATTACAGAGCAATTATTTACTTCAGCATAGCTGCAGTTCAGACAGGTTTCACCCATAGGGGTGTCCTGCACTGCATGTATGCCTCATGACGAAAAGCTCTTAAGTAGGTAGGCTCAAGTGCAATCCAGCGGAGGCTGCTTGCCCTTGCACCTCATGCAATCCTTGCATGATTCTGGCAACGCCGAAAGCTTGAGCTTGATCCCTAAAGGCAGATATGGAAGCCTTATCTTCTATTATTCCTCTCAGCAATGTTTCTTATTGGGAAGACTTATAATGAGAGCAGTAAACTCCGGTTTTGTCCGGTTTTCAATAAAAAAACCTAAAAGCAAGAGCTGTCATAACACTCTGTTGCCTTTAACAATGCAATAGATGAGCATACGGGGCAGCCCACGGATTAAAAGAAAAATAAATAAGATACGCCGTGAAATCTATAAAATAGAGGAGCTTTGGTGGAGTGAGATTTTATGTTGGGAAGAAGACAACATACAGAGATACATAATAAACTGAAGTACAGGGGGTGATCAATTTTCAAGTATGTCTGGAGAAATGAGACTGCATTAAGTCCTTTACAAAAGGGAAACTTCTGGCTTTCAATTCATGGCTCTGTTACATTGTCAACACTGAAAAGGTTTTCTATTTTGAGGAGGATATTTTAGTTGTAGGTAGGAAGATATCTACTCTGCAGTAACAGTCTTCTCCTGCAGTAAATTCTGTCATTTCTTAATCAATTAACATTCAACCCAGTGATTTTGGTGATATACTTCATCCTGTCATTTCGTAATCAATTAACATTCAACCCAGTGATTTTTGTGATATACTTCATTCTGTGCAGAGAAAATTACAAGAGGAAGGTCAAACTGTTGGTGGAGGCTAAATAAGCAGAGTCTGAAGACCTCCATTAGCCAGAACAGTTTCTGCTAACACAGAGCCACCATATCAACATGTCTGCATCTTCACTGGTTTTCTGTACCACTGCAGGTTTTGGACAGCACTGTGGAAATGGTGCACAAGATTAGTGTGTGGACAAAGATCTCTGAAAGGTATTTCTTTTCGAATGGGTCACTAGACACTTCAGACACCTAACGTTATGATTCCCTGAGTCAGATGTATGAACGTAGGACGGGTGAATCCTGCCCATTGTATGTTGTCTTCAGCCACAAGGAAAAAGATTTTCTCCTCATAGTGAAATACTGGTCTGAGACTGGAGTTCTTTGGAAATTATTTGTGACTTGTGATGTTTTGGAAGTTTTATGAATTGCTGCTGGCCACTGTGACACGAACACCTGTCAACAATGCTTTATGCACAACCAGTATGATAATGTATAATAGGAGGCTTGCACGGATGGACAATTGAAGAGCATGAATATAAACCAACCATGCAAGTAATGTTCTGCTTCACTCCCCAGCAGGTGCTTTGTCTGAAGTTAGAATACTTACCTTTCTAGAAGCTGTACTAAGCTACTTGTATCTACCCTCACAGTAATATAGATGATAAAACAATAACAGAACAGTTCATGCTTGCAAACAAAACCTTCATTAATACATTCCATAACCGGAATTCTCAAGTATTTGACCTAATACTAACATGAAAGAACATGAAAGTTATATTCTTAGGCCACGAGTATAATAAATAGAAGGGACAAGTTACCTTGAAGCTATAACCTTGATCTACAAGAAACCGTTGTCTCTTTGTTGAATATGCCATTTCCTGAGTGTCTTGGGACACAAGAGAATAAAAAAAGGCATTGTATTCCTCTGCAACCATGCCTAGGAGACAAAGACACCGAGAGATTAGTTCCATTTGGAACACTGCAACCAAGAACACAAAAGGACTTTTTCAAAACACTGAAAACAGGTGTTTAAATAAGTTGTCTCTCCACAAAAACAATCTGCAAAGTTTAGCTGCACCCAGACCTTACATAAACTGACTGACAAAGTACATGGCATGGAAGTTCCTACTCTTGTTCTTAATAACTTGAGAATGGGTGAAAAGGAAAAAATGGAAAAGGAAATGTAGACTAACACAATTACACTGGTGCTCTGAGAAGAACCTGCTTCTTTATTATGCTAGGCAAGGTGAAAGATAAAATTATTTTTAATCTATTATGTAAAGAAGTAAAAAGTCAAGAGCAAGGATTGCAACACAAGTCAAAAAAGTTCAACAGAAAAAGACAAAGGAAAAGTTTTATCAATGTAAACCAGTGTTTGCAAGTGTTTCTGCATTAAAAAAGGTGAGACAAAGATATTTAATGAAGAATTCATAGGGCTGTTTGAAGCCCAGGATATACCAGGCTGCATATAATTTATTTTTTTTCTAAACTTACGGTCCTGAAGACCTATTATCCAAACAGCATTGGATTCTCTTTTAAAACCCAAGGTTTCACTAAGACTTTGTTAATTCACTAACATAGGTTTTGTATGCATTTTCAAACAAAGCCTTAGCTGCAACAAGGACAAACTGCACATAAAATAGGCGTATGCAGATCTTAAGTGCACGTAGGAAGTGTTTTAAGAATCATTTTTCTAAACAAGAAGCTCCTTGGTTACGTTTTGCAAAAATGCAACTAGTTGGAAACCAAATCCCATTTTTACAAGAAAGTAATCTGCAGTATCAAAATGTGCTTTCTACAGACTTGCTTTACGATTTCATGTTGAAGAAATTACCAAGGAATGAAAAAGTGAAAGAACCACCAAAGAACAAAAAGATAATTTTCCTTCAGCTTTTTTTGTCCTTTGGAAGTTTTCCGACATGAAGCTTTACTGACACAGAAAATGCTTCATTTTCATTCACTGGTATATAGGCATATATCCCCTTTGACTAAAACATAATCCAAGGACAATATAAAGAAGTATCATGAATATCCAGTTTCTCTGAAATTCTATGAAACTATGATCCAAGGCCCAGAGCCCAACCACCATCTCATTTACCTTTTTTGGCTCTCAGCACTCGTCCCAGTCTTTGAGCCTCCTGTCTTCGAGACCCACCATGGGACGAAATCTGAATCAGAACATTGGCTTCTGGCAGATCGAAGGATGTGTCACCTACCTATAACAGAGAAGCAGCCTCTGAGCAGTGTCTTATTTCCATACAGCATAAACAAAGACTTAATACAAAGTACACCTCTGTGAGCTGCAATACAAAGATGTCAAATGCACATATAACTTACTCTTAAAGTTCACGCGGAAGATAGGTACAAGGACACACTGAATGTCCTCACTTACCTTGGAAATGAAAATAGTGTTGATTTTTGGATTGTGCTTGAAGTTTTGTAGAATTTGCATTCTTTCTCCTTGTGCAGTAGGACCATATATATAGGGTCTGGAAAGAACAGAACATATGCAAATTCAATCAATTCAAGATTTCTCAATCATTTCTTACAGGGTACTAAGATACCGTGGCAGGGAGTGCAGTACACATTTGAACTATATAAAAACAAAACAGATTTTGGTACAGCTTACAGTTTACTTTTAGCTTGTTTGGCTCTTTATGGCAGCTACCCAGCTGTTTGTGGAACCCTTTGCAGCAACCCAGTCTGCCAGAAATAAATTCTGACAGTTATAAATGTTTTGCAATTACGTGCACCAATGAAGCTGTATATCAACAGACTGAATACAATTGCTAAGACTACATGAAAGACTGAAGGCAGCTGTTAAAATAAGAGATTTTTTTCCCCCTCAAATCTACTGAATTAGCACATTGACAGCTGCAACCTTTGCTTCCTATTTAAACACTTGAAATTCCAGGCTTCTCTATCAATGATATGCTGAGTGTCAACCTGGCTGTTGGATTTTGTTCTGGGAAAATTATTTTTTGCTTTTGAAGCTACCCTCTTGCCCCTCCTAATACCTTCTGGACCTACTGAAATGAGAACAAGGTCTCAAACATTCCATGGCTGCAAGCAGCTCACAGTGGCATTTCATGTAAGGTTCCTATTGTTTGATGATGACCTGGAACATTTAATATCCCAATCCAGAAGGCTCACACAAACTCAGGCACCTACAGACTTCATGAATAACTTGGGCTACTATGAATTTTTGAGGAATCTCTCTATAGAGTCTGGCTGTTTTCTTCCTGCCTAAGCAGAGTTTAAAAAAAAAAAAACAACCAAACAAAAAGCTACAAATGGTGAAAAGCCCACGCAAAAAATGAGAGGCATGCAGGAGTCCATAGCCACTGCTTTTTCATCTGCTGCACTACTTTTCCAAATGCTCATTAACAAGCATCTCCAAATAACAGGAATCAAGTTCTACAATTTCTATTTTGTTCACACTTCCATACATTATTTCTAACACAAGGAACCAATGCCACGTTTCATTTAACTTTTAATATTGTACATACATGGGTGGCAGCTGAACATAAGCATGCAGTGCACAGTACTAAGGTTTTCAGCTGATTTTCCTGTCATGCTTCTAGCAACTGTTGTGCTACTTAGCAAGCACCCTTCCCAGCATCACCTTTGTTAAAGGCCTTTTCTGTGGTGCACTGAACACTGCTAGAGGCATTCCAGAGGCATCATTACAGCTAATCTCTGTCCAGACAGAGTGAAAAAAAAATGATGAAAGAGACCACGGGTGCTGGAATTCATCCAGCATCATTAGCTCTGCTTACTATTTTATGTCACAGCAAGCCAGCACAACATGGCTGTTAAACTACAGTCAAAACTGATCGTGAATTTTGGAAAGGGTAAGCCTTGTTTGTGGTTTTGCTAAGAAGTACTGCTGAAATTCCTAGACATGAAATCATACGCAGTCAAAATGCCCCACAGGTTCCAGCAAACAAGGCGTTATTTCGGCTTGTCAAAGAAAGGATGAGGCCAGATTCTATGCCTGATCCCGACAAACACTCTCCCTGATCATCCCTCCCCAAACCTATAAACACAGTGATGCTAACCCCTCTATTTATACCACCTTCTGCAACTACGCTCATTTTAGAGTCATTTAAGGTAGCTGAGGAGCTCATGGGAGCAACATCCTTTTGTTTATGAAACAATCACAGTACTTCTAGGCAGTGCGCTGGTACAACACAGATCCCAGAAAAGTCTGTGTTAGGTTTTTTAGACAAGCTTAAGACCTTTTGAGAACCTGAAGAGGAACTCCCTGGGTCCCAAAAGACCTTGAAAGATCCAGAGAGTGTTTATTTGAAAACCTTCATCTTGGAGAGACAGGGGAAGCTACTGTCCATTAAAGAAATAGTTCTAGTGATATTTTTAAAAGCCCCTAATTTTTCCACTGTCTTTCAATAATAATAAGATGAATGGAGAAATACTAACAGTGTTTCACAGAAATCTTGGATGAAAACTCCTCTGAGGCAAGTGCTGAACAGAGGTTCTTTTCAAACAGTTCTACACCAAAGTAACGTTGCAGTGCCAACAAAATCCACGCAAAAAACTACCCTCCCAAACTCCTTTTATACAAGAGGATTGGAATTAAACCAAAGAATTACAAGAAATATCTAAACGCTACTGAAAGCTGCGAGATTACAAGGCAGTTTTCCATAAAGGAGGAAAACAACAGTGCCATCGTTGGTTGCGAACACTTACTTCCCAAGCCTGATTGCATACTCCTTCAGTGCAAACACATTGTCAGCAAATACAATGATTTTATCATTCCGTCGCTCATGAAACTTAATCAGGAACTGGCAGGCTCTGAACTTATTTGGGTTCATGGTGTACAGCAGTATCCGTTTCTTTGTTTTGATGGCTACATATTCTCTATAAAATTCAGGTGACATTGGGCACCAAACCTAGAATTAAAACACGTACACAAACACACACAAAGCAACCCTCCGTTATTTATTTATTTTATTCCTGTGGGAATTTAAAAGATAATGGGGGGATGAAAATGGCATTATAAATCTCTGTATAGCGCAGGCCACAAATTTTATCACAGTAATTTCTGTACTAAAATGAAAGACACCGATTGGTGTAGTCTCCAGCACTGCCAGACTCTGTTTAACCTCATTAATATCCTGGCCTTCCTAAATGCTTTGGCAGGGAGATCCACGACAGAAATAGGCAGCAGGATTGGAACAGGACTGGAAGATATTTCCTTTATACTTCATACTTAATAATTGTACTGAATGCTACTACCTTTTACAGAGCAACAATTAAGGGAATGAACTATCTATGTAATTGCCCTGTCCCAGCAGTCAAAGCTTTTTCCATAAAAACTAATTTTCATTCAAATTCGGAAAGCTCAGAGACATATTTACTCTTCATTATAGAACAAATTTACCAGGTTTTTTTCATATACCCGCAAAGGAGTGACCTTTATTATCACAGCTATTGAGTCTACAACTTTCAAAACACTAGGACTGATGAGAAGTTTTCAATAGGTTTCCCTAAGCAATTATTATCTAAATACATATCATAGTACTGCACAAGTCTACGCTTACTGAGATATTTTCTTCTACTGTAGCATGAAAATAGAAGAAATTACGAATTTCAAAGTTTATGCCAATGAAATGATACTATCTATAGCATAGAATGACACTAGCTACAGTGCATATAATTTAAAGACATTCATTCTGCTGAACATGGCTTATTCCCCCATATCCATTGCACAGTACAAATTAAATACTGCAAAGAAAAGCCTCTTCCATTACCATTGTTCAGCTAAGGAAGTTATGTGACAATTTACAGGATTTTATTTAAACAACCTGAATTGTTTTGTACTGCTAAGAACTACTTTGTTGTTTCAAAACATTTTTTCCGGTGAGTTAAATGCTAGATGAGGCTTTTTTCATCCTCTGACTACATTAATAATAAAATTATGCATTGAATAGGCTCCATTGTTATTGTATGCTGTCTATACGAAAGACTTAAAATTCTTAAATCAGAAGAGACTATTTTAAAGTGAGAATGATATATGAATACTGAACATTTGATTGTAGCAAAACAATTCATCTATTGCTCAATGCCTCAGACTACATGGCAAACTGAATATATTTTGATTTGTATTTGCACTCTCTTCTGGATTTGGAAACGGATAAAATCCACTTCTCAGTCCAATGATCTTTTCAATTTTACATTCTGCAAGACGCACACTCCAAACCAAAAACTTAGTACAGCAGCTGGGAAAGGGATTATTTGTAAATTACAAAACTCTGAAAATTTAGTTAAAGAACAGGCTTGTTCTCTGTTTTTAGACTTCTTTTAACTTTTTTATCTGTGCTGCTTGTTCTCTTTTAGAGCAGTGAAAGAGTAGTACCTGCAATGACCATGACCTGCCTTATCAGACAGCAGCACTGCCCTCTCTTGCCACCTAGAAAGAACCGCACTTAAAGAGCAAACCAGACATCTATCTTGGCTATGGGGACTAAGGCAAGTTGATTAAAGATGCTACTTCTCAACAACATGTCAAGAAAATCCAAACAAATATCCAATGCAGTTGCAATGTATGAGACTTGTTATTTACCAGCCATTAACACTGCTTTTTTTTATTCGCTTTTGCTAGTCCCATGGAATGTTATTTCAAAACACTGGCCTAAAGAATATAAACTTGCAGAATTTTCACATCATTCAGAACAAAGGTAGCCCATGTTTCACTTGTCAATGTCTAAAGGGCAGTTCAGGGACTGAGAAGAATTATGCTCCCAAGGCAGAATTAACCGAAGTGCCTCAACAGTCAAATTTGGATTTGCAGACTGGTTACTCTCCTTTCAGCCTAGTTATTTTCTAGATGCTTGTCTCTTGCATTCTATTACTTAAAAATAGTTGTGGGTTTTTTTTCCTTCTATAACCTCCTGTTTGCACAAAGTTCGAAAGGAAAACAGCTGACCTGCATCTGTATCATTTATTCCAGTAACAGAGCTAGGAAGAATTGCATGAAACTAGCACAACAGGTTTAAAAAGAAACCCCAACAACAACAACCAATGTAAAACCAACACAAAAAACCCCCACAAACAACAACAACAAAAAAAAACCAGAAAAGCAAAAAACCCCCAGGAAAAACCCAAGAGACAATTAAATTATGAAACTCCACCATAGCAAGCTGTAGCTGCTAAAACTTTACTTCCATTCAATGGGAGTCCAGACAAGTTCATGAAAAAGAAACCCACTGATGGTTACACGGAAACCACACAAAGTCATAAATGACTGAGGGCTTGTAGAAGTTATCAGTAAAAGTAACTGATATGTTTGCCCTGGTTTTATACTCTTCCCTAAGTATCTTACTTGACAATTAATCGAGACAATATATTAGTTAGCCCTTTAGTCTAACCCAGAAAGGTTACTTTAACATTCTAATATGCCTGTGTGAAAGGTTTCTGCTTCTCTGATACCAGATTTTTCTCTCATCCATATGCTGGAAAGAACAGAGGTCACACACCGTTATATTGGAAAGAAATAGTAAGATCCAGCCCTACGTTTTCAGTTTTCACCCTCATGCACTCAGGCTTGAAATAAGCAGGTCTTTTCTTATGTTTGTGGGGTTTTTTTAAACTTGCTATTTTCCTTCTTTAAGAGTTTCAAGAATTTTCCTCAAACAGCTACAGACTGTCTACTAGTTGAAGTCTCTAAAAAGCAGCTTCCAGCAAACCACCCGACGTTATGCTCATCATAACATGATGTTACGCTACCACAGAGAACTGAGCTTAAGATAGGACGTCAAGTCAGACAACACAAATGTCAGCTGCATAGAACTAGGTGTACAATACTGCAGCCACTGTTCACATTTCCAAATGCTGACTTGGAGACAGCTGATTAAACACCACAAACCCTGCAAAGAGAAAGAGTGCTGAAGTCACTCGGGAGAACATGTGGCTGAAGAACATGTGGCTACTGGATTTGCCATGTGTTCATACTGACCAGCAAACAGCCTTGCCTAAGCTACAAAGTAAACGAAAAGTCGTAAGGGCACCTGTTTTTCCCAGTTAAATACTTGAAATTTTATACATTTTCCTTAAAAAAAAAAGTTATAAGCATACTAAATAAACACTAGTAGTACCAAAAAGCAGAGCATCACCTCAGCACACTGGACTTTAGCAATGTAGCCACTGTTCTGCAGTTCCATCCAGTTGGCTTCATAGAGCTTTGGTCCGATCAGGAAGTTCAGGTCAACAATTTTATCATCTTCTCTGACCAGGGTAGCAGTCAGCCCCAGTTTACAATGAGCTTGTACAATAGTGAGCACACGTCTGAACATTTTTGCTAAGAAATGCAAGACAAATTTTCTGTTTACTTTCCTGAATGGATTTAGAGACAAATAGTGCAACTTAAAAAACCACTTTCATCAACTCCTGAACACAAAGCAAGCACAGCGTTGGGAAATTTTACCCCATTTCACATACACTTGTAACAAATCTGTCAGAGCAAAATTTCACACTGATGGCAGCTTTAGTTTACATCTTCAGTATACTCTGAAAATCCCAGTTAACCTGGCATCTGTATTATTTCTCATTTCCCAAGAGAAAATTAGTATACTCAGAGGTTACATGGCTTGTTTTAGTTCATATAGTATTTCACAGAAGGAACTATGACACAAGGACTCTTGTCTGACTCTGCCACATTCAGGACTTCTAGTATATGGCAGAATTACTCATCTTTAGTATTGCTAGAGAACCTGTAATTGCAGAATCTGAAGATACAGAGGAGATTCTATACCTTAATTTTTATGAAACCAAGAACATAAGTGAAAGTACGGTGGCAGCAATGTGCTACTTTGATAAAATGGCAGTTAATCACCAAGGTGTACTTCTGAAATCCGTAATTTCTGTAGTCACCAAATTATATTCAAATGGAATCATGAGAACAAGGTAGAGCAGCTAACAGAATCTGGGTGGTATTTTTAGCCAGGATTATTCCACAGACACTTTAATACTACATTAATGCTTTCCAACAGTATAAATATCAATTACATACTAATTTCAAATACAACAACTATTTCTGGACAGTAATCACTATGGTTACTCATATTTTATTGAGCAGAAATAGATATTGAAAGTTGGCCTACAGTGCTGCTACATCTCAAAAGAAAAGGCGGCAGATGAATTCATCTCCTGTTCCAATTTGTCTACAGCAAAATTAGACAAATGTAAATCAGGTATCTTAAGAGCACTTTATCAACCTACACAGAAGGCGGCACTTGCATTTTACACTGCCATTATAGAAAACAGAGTGTCTAATTTGAAGAATTTCAGAAAACTAATGGTCAGCTAAACTCTGTAGTATCAGGGGAAAAAAAAAAAAGAACAAGAAAGTAGAACAAGGCAGTCTACTTGTCTCAGAACCCTAAGACACGGCTTTACTCACTATATTAATCCTAAGAAAGAGAGAAAAAACCCACCACTTCTAAAAGAGCAGAGTAACATTAACAGTGTATATAACATGAAAGGTTTGCACACCATTTCCTTACCAGGGATAGTATGTACTTCATCAAGTATCATAAGGCCCCACTCTTGACTTTTAAGCCACTCCATTACTCTTTCTGCTTCCCAGGATCTTTTCGTCGTGTGTCCCAACATGGAATATGTGCTGATAGCAATAGAACAGCCAATGGGCTTGTCTTTGGCATCAGAAGTGAACCGACATATCTGACTGTCATCGATGGTGGACCACATCTTGAATTGGGCTTTCCACTGCTCAACAGACACCGCAGAATTACCAAGGACCAGACACCGCTTGCGGACAGTACACGCAGCTGTCACTCCAACTAGAGACTTGCCAGCACCTGCAGAGGAAGAAGAGTGATGTTCATTAGTCGTCACTCAGGTATCACTGGAGTAGGAAGTGTGGGGCGGGGAAAGAGCAAAGGGAAACAGGAAAACAGAGGATATGAAATCATGTAAGGGCAAATTCTTCATTGTTTCTTCACTGTAACAGCCTTAAAGAAATGGGAGTATTCACTTCTGAAACAACAGCTGGATTGTCTACTGGACACATAACTGTATTTTCCCAAGAAAATAATTATAGACAATGGCTTTGCCAATTGGAAGCAATCATTTTAATGCTTTCTTAATTTCAAAAGCACATTAAATTCCAGGTGGCTACAGAAAGCTTCCTCTAGAGGTGATCTATCCCACTGCCCCTACCAGCTATGGTCGTTCATCCCCAGAGCAAGTCCTTAAATCTTTCCATTCCTCCTTCACACTTCTTCCAGCATCCCTTACACACTCTCTCAGGCCCTTGCCTCCTCCACCCCCAATACCAAGGGCGCTGGCATGCAGTCTCCTGTTCTTTGCCTTTGCCTCTTTGCCTTTTCCACTGCTTCCTGTAGGTTGTCCCAATATGCACATTCCTCACTTCCTTCTCAAGCTCCCAGGCCCAGAACTTGTGCACACAAACTCTTTTCTTCCTTGCACCTCCCTTATGGCGTATTTGTATTGCCAGTTCCCCACAGTCTCCCTATTCCCAACAAAGGAACAAATTATTCTGATGCCAACTGCTTTACATTTCACTGGAAGATCAGCAGAGCTGACTTAGAGGGAATGGGGTTTTGGACAGGCTGGATCGATGGGCCGAGGCCAACTGTATGA